AATTTTTTAATTAATTTTACACAAATTTTTATATCAAATTCATAATTTTTTATAAATTTTGAGGTAAAATATTATATTATATTTTATTTTTACATTTTATATTATATTATATTTGAATTTTATATAAAAATTTGTGTAAAATTAATGAAAAATATTACAATAAACAAAGCTTAACCTATATTCTTAAGACGCACGTTAAAAAATTCTTAATTATAAAAGGTTACTACCAATTCACCTTGAAAATCTATGGTGCCCTCAAATTAATCAAGGTTTGGTCAACACGATAAACCCTTTTATCATGATAGTTGGAACAATTTCACTTTATTAGCATGCAACAGAAAATCATATCTATTTTATTGTTTATCTGCTTATATATATAGCTAAATTACTTGTAATTATAAATTGAGAGATATGTTAACATTTAATTACTTATACAACTAGTTTGTTTATTTGTCTTCTCATTACTAGAGGATGAAGTATTAGCAAGGTGAATTTACTGACATAATTAAACATATAAATGATGCTCACTTTCACTTATACGACTTAAGTCTTGAATTGGTCAATTAGATAACAACTAATATTAATTGCAGTGTTAGAACTTTTCTACACAAACCACGTGGGTGGAATTAAATCAACGACAAGATATGTGATGGAAAGTTTTGCTAAGATTAAAAGAAGTTTCAACATAAACCACATAAATGGCACTCTAAACACTTATGTGGTATACTTTGGTATGTTCTTTCAGCAATGAAAAAATTTAAAAGATTCCCATGTTGACAACGTCAATGATGGTTTGATATCTATTAACGAAATTGGGGCCACATTTGTGTTCCAATTATCGATGATGTTAGGAGCTTTCACCCACATGGAAAAGGCTTTCGTCTATATGTGGCTCCATAATGTTGTATCTTTGATTTTTAGTCTTGTTTCGGGAAGTTGGCTTCGGTGATTTGCCAGTTTGATTGGAACGTTGATTGAATAAATTGCTTATAATGAGGTGTATGTATGAGTTTGAATACTCTTAAGACTTTGTAATGAATCACTTCTAATATGTACTCTCTCTATCTCCAATAATAGTCCTAATTTTATTCAAAATTTAAGTCATATTAATTATTGTTTTTGCATTTCTTAGATTTTTTTTT